GTCATTTTTCGCAGGCCAATCCAAGTGGAAAATTAGCAGTTCATATATAATGTTGTATGCGCTCACTTTTCCACAGTGAGTTATCATGCCTTCATGTGTTTCACATTTTTATCATGCTTGAACCTTTTGAATGCATATAACTTGTGTTTTGGTTCATGGTTCGGGGTTTGTGGTGTTTTTTTTTCCTATATGTCAAGTGTATAAGTTTCATTGTTATCACGGTTGTCATATGTTCTATCAACATAACTGGGGAGAAATCTATGTAAAACAAGAATCGCCTCTTGCAAAAAAATTGCCTCTCAGTTCCTAGAGGCGCCTTCTAGGTTGGAGGCGCAACAAAAAGTGCAGCCCTAGGAAGATTCAGGTATATATATTATAAATCCCGGTGTGCGTTTGGTGCGCCTACGAACACTCCGGCGTTCCGTTCGCACGTTTTCGTCCCATCAGATTGGGGTGTTCGACCTCCCAGGCGTTCCGACCCTGAAGGAAAATCGACCCGGCTACCCATTCCAGGGGGTCTCCAAATTAACATACACACCAACGGAACTGCAGAAAGTGCGATATGGATTCAATGATTTGAGGGTGTTTGCAGAGTGTGGCAAAACTAACCGTGGGATTGGTATGTTTACTGAACCTCAGGCCAATAGGGCCTGGAAAATCATGTTCGGGGTGCTGCTCAGCTTCCATCGTCAAATAGTTGCCCAAGAAAACAGATTGACCAGTGGCTCAGTGGCTCGTGCGTGCTTGGATTTTCATCAACTTCTCCTTATAAGAGGGAGGTTTGAAAATAGGTCAACATGGTCAAACATGTCATTTGTGTATGATTTACTGCGCATTACAACCACATCGTGGATATGGGTCAAATACTATAGTATTATAGAGAGCCACACGTTAAACATCTGTGAAATTTACCAACCCCTTTGTCCGCTGAGTCGCCATAGTCGTCGTCGCCCCAGGTGACTACTGAACCATTGGCCAGGGTGGCTGCGAAGGCTGCCTTGGAAGCTGCAAGATGCTTCACGTCCTTCAGCAGCCCAGCCACTTTGCCTGAGCAACTTTTTTGCATCATAGCTTTCCACATGAAAAACAGAATGACAAGAACATCTGCAGGAAACCTTTGCATGGGGAACGTCAACTGTTTCTGTAGAGTTTGCATCCGGACTCTATGATTGGAGACCACATCGCCTTTAAAAGACAGGATTTTGGTGAGACAAGCTATGCCGTCGGACTGAAGCTTGGAATGTATAGTTTTCCATGCCATATTAGTCCTGCTCGCTCTTCATAGTGTGATTGATATTTATAGCTGGAGGCACCCAAATCAATAGAAACTATTTCCAACACATGCTTGCAGGGATTGCACGTTGTATTTCTTGAAATATCCACGCAAAGCGCCGTACTGCAAAGCGCGTCTTGGTAGCTCAGTTGCTACTGTCACCTCCATACATAGGACGCCCCCAGCTCACCACGGATCCATCTTTCAGAATTGCTGCAAAGGCGTAGTCCGCAGCACAAATCCTTCGTTCAATGCATATATCATCATATATCTAAGTGAGTACAAAAAACAGAGTTGACGGTTGACCTTCCCCTACTACAAGAGGTGACGGGTGTTATGAACATGGTCCCAAAAGTTCAAGTGTCTTAGTGCCACCGTGGGGAATAGCATGACTTAGGGTGCCTGCCACCCAAGAACAAAACAAGATCCATCTCCGATTGGGGCATGATGAAGAAAAACTGACCACCACGTTTGGAACAGCTGCCTTTGAAAACAATGAGACTCTAGACAACATGGCATTGTTCTCAGGAATTGCCAACTGACTTTACAAGCGACTCGCCTGTACTGTTTTTGTGTTTTGTTAGTTTCGTTTGGGCTAGCGGCTAATTAGTTGATCGATGTGAGGGAGATCCTTACAAGATTCACATGAGAATGCATTTTTCATGGGGTGGAATTTTGACTAACATCCACGAAACTTGCAGGGCCGCAGGGCCTTTCGAGATCTTTCGAAGCTGCAAGAGCTTACTAGGCGGTGCTTGGATTCGGAGCACTTACGCGAACACCTTCGCGGCAAAAGTTGGTTGACGTTGCATTGCGCAATAAACACTTGTGCTGCCTTCGCGAAAGCAACTTGCGCCACTTGAAAGTTGCAGCTTTTGAACGGGTGCTCTCACAGGGTGCAAAAGGCAAGCTTTCCCAGGAACCAATGCTCCACTCAAATGCTTACGCGGCACACTGGTGAGTTTCACCTTTTGTTCTCGGCTCTTTCAGGAAAGAAACACGCAGAACATGTTGCTCAAACGGGGATGGTCACTGGGTGCAGAACACACCAGAACCTTAATGTTAAACAATGATTCAGGAACCCTCCCCTACTAATTTAGTCCGGTTTTTCCCTCCGACGCTAACTGTCTTTCAAAAAGCCTTCTGGCGCATTCTCCAAAGTGGGCACCCATTCCAGCCAATTAGTTTGTTCCACCTTCTTGGCCCCAATCTTTTGAAACCTAATCGCATTTCTCCCGTTTCTTTAGCACCTGTAGTTCACCAATCCCTCGTTGCATGGTCCTATATTGCCAACCAATTGACATCTCTTATCCCTTGTTCAATTCACATCCGAAACACCTTTTGCTCCTGCTGGCTCATTGTTTGGTATATTGGCAAAATCGGTCGACCTCTCTTCATGAAGAGATTTAGTCTTGGGGACTTCTCCGCATGAACAGATTTACTGTATATAGTTTGTGGGATCTCTCATGAGATTGAGTCTATCCCTCCTCTTGACGGACCGGAACCACATGAATCAAACCATGTGGAACCACATGAATCTGATGAACGACCGACTCGTTCCGACCGGAACCCTTGAACCTTGCCCCTCACGATTCGTGATGCGGACCTACCATCAGGGCTCGGACCTCACCATCAGAAACCCATCCCCGACTCGGGCGATCACTCGAGGTTGGGGCATTCCCAGTGAAGCAAAACATCACAAAAAGAAATACCTCTTTAGCAATCCAAGGAGGTCTGTTGCACATCTTTCAGCTGATCTTGGACCTGGCTACTGTCACCCCCCTGCAGCGGGATGACCCCAAGAGACCACCGATCCATCCGAGCGAAGAGCAGCAAATGTTGTGGCGGATGCCTCAATGCTTTGGACATCCTTCAGCTGATCTTGAACACCACTGCTATCACCTCCAATCTCAGGATTCCCCCAGGTGACAACGCCACTTCCACAACACCAAAAGGCAAAAGCACCACGTGTGGCAGCCAACCTGGGCTCTTGAACAATGGCAGTCAAAACGTCTCCCTGGTGAATTCCTGCTTCTTCCAGAGTTTCGGCTGCATTTAGCAGCTGCCCCTTAACTGATATGACTTGCAAGAAGGGAACCTTCAGCACTTCCTGTGCAGCAGTCTTCAATTCTGCCACTGGGCTGGTGGCTGATGCTGTCAAGGTCAGTGAGGAACCGCTGGGCAGGGCGATGTTGATGCTCAGCTTTGGAGCTTCTGCACCTTAGCTGTGCCAATGCCAAACACCATGGCGGATTTCTGCGTGGTTTGTGAGACGTCCAGGGTGCCTGTGGGAAGTCCAAACCTCAGTGAACATAAAACAAAACAACACTGCTACTGTAACTCTTTCTGGTTTTGATGCTGATGTGCGAGCATGTAAGTAAGTGCACATCAGCATAAGGGTAGGGTAGAACAAGTGAGAGGTGACTGGTGAGTTTGGTCCAACACGTGCCCTTTGGCCGGTCAGTGTGAACACAAGGGTGTCAACGACCTCTGGGGCGGGGTAGAAAACTCCAATCTGCAAATGAAAACTGCTCTTACTGGCTGGTCTTTATCCAAGCGACTGGCTTGTTTCAACAACGGTGATGGAGGAAAAAGGATGAAACAAACACGACAATCTTGGCGGACATCGGGGAGGGCCGGCCGGAATGTCATGAAAGAGCCATCTGTTGTTTGCTGTCAATCTCCAACCTTGTTTTTTTTTGTGGCCCGACCGCAGGTGTCAAAACATCAACCTCCCTACAATGATACAGCACCCCGCGTGGCAAAGGATCATGCAACAAGTCCTCTCGCCGCGGGTGATTTTACCATCCAATGGGTGGGTAGTTATATTTATATATATATATATATAATCATGAGTCCACATTAAATTACGAGGACCTTAGAGGATCAATCAGTGTGATCCTGGCTGCCTGGCTGGTGATGCCTCTTCGAACGCCAAACATGTGTACTTAATATATTCCTGCTGCTTCACCGCATCCACTTTGAATGATTTGATAATATATGGTGCCCCCGTACATATCATCATTATTCATCAACAGCCCAGATTACTGGAAGACGCGGATCGTTGGCGACCTGATCCGGTGGAAGGACAGCAGTCCAACGGCGCCCCGCGATCCTGGTCAAGCGACTGGCCATGGCGAGAGCGATGGCCACGCTCCCCAGCGAGCGCCAGCGAGTGCATGGGAGCGAATAAGCCAGTGGATGAGCTACCACTTCATGGCTGCCAGGAATCAGCTAGCAATAATGAGACTACACATCATGAAAAGCCCATGGCAAAGAATTACAGTACCGCAATCGGGAGCGGCATGTCTTGCTGTTGAGTCTGCTCAATGCAACATCAGGTTTACCTCCAGCATGTTCCAGCTGCAGGTCATCAATGATAGCCATGGATTCCGACAAGATACTACTAAAACTGGTGTTAGAGTCTCAAGATACTAGGAAGTAATTACTCTTGAGTGGCATCCTTCAAGATTTCGACCAAATTGAACACCAGGTAGAGCTAGACCGCCCGGAAGACCGGCTTGCGACCTCCCCGGTCTTCCTGCGGTCACCAAACATGACAGGATGCCATTCCACATCTTTCACTAGGTGAAGTCCTTTCTGCCATGAACATCTTGCCGAGTAGAATGTTCAGTGATGCCCTGACCAGGTGAAGGGTCATGAAATGATCGATATATCTGGAAATCCTCTACACAGTAACGACTGTTCTGAATCTTAAGTCCCCTGCAAAAGCTCAGTCCGACTCAGCTTGCTCCATGGGCGCTGGACACAGGCCGCAGCCACCATACTGGCCTGGCGGCCACCATGTGGTGGGGCCGCAGCCACCATGTCACATCGTTCATTGGGCCTTTTGGAGGTGAGTGGAGAAGAGTTTAGCCAATGAACACTCCCACAAACACATGGAAGTGACAAATGAGTTGATGGAAATCCCTGGTAGACCTGGTAGACCTGCACAAACAGGTGGTGAGTCCATGTGAGGAAGAAGAGTAGTGAGACGATGGGGGCGTTCAGCAAATGCGCACGTCCATCCTCATAGTTGCACCACAGCAACATCTTCTGAAGAATGGTTGGGCCATTCCTGCCATCGCTAGCAGGTTGGGTATGGTTGGGTCATTCCCTCGAATTTCCTGCATCACCTGAGTACTGCCATCCCGCTGATTCCGCCCGTGACCTCTGCAGACTCTAGTAAATCTGACTCTCGAGCCGTTTCCCGGGAAAGTTTTAATCGAACTTTAGTAGTTTTTCTCGTTTAGTGGGAAACCAAAGCCCCAAAACTTCGTGGACCTGCAGGTGATCTACTGAACTCCTGACTGAGTAGGGGAATGATTGTCTGAGTCTCCAGCCGATGGCCGCGCGAGGATGAAGATTTGGTCCAACTCCTTCACTGCACTGGCCTGGTGACCAGGTCTTTCCCACGACACACGGCGGTTCAACCGTCGCCGTGTCTCACCTTTGGAACACCGAGCCGTGTCGAGAAGCTTCTCCTATTCTGCCTACTGTTGGAGCCGGTCTGTGACCGGTGATCCCGACCGGGCGCCGTCACCGGAAGAACCCGGCGAAGCCGTGAAAGGTCCGGGACCGTCGGGACCGTCCCTGGGTTCTCCGCACATAGACCTCTTCGAGGCCCTCCGCAGAGACAAAAAACCATTGGCCAGCTTGGTGACGTTTCCCCGGCGGCCTGGGGCGCAGCGGAACACGCTTTCCCCGGCGACACCTTGCTACCCTGACGCCTAACGTGCTCGTCAGCGTTCCCGATTCAGGTTCTGAATTGGGACATTTGCTACAACAAAATCCCTGATGAAAGAAGTGATCCTGATGTAGATGGATTCAAAAGGGTTCAAGCGAATCTCCTGATTAAACAGGAGATTTAGGAATAAGTACCAGGAAAAAGTACCATAACCATCCATAAATGTATATATATAATATATATATATAGTTAATATATATAATATCTCACCTATAGACTGTGTAATGTTGGATCTTGATAAGTAAAAGGATCCTCTATAATGCTAATTTTCCAAAACTAATTCTGGACACCATGTTTGCTTTAAGGGTCCTCTATTATGCTAATTGTTTTGGGGATCCTATTTTTCTACTATCTGAAAAAGTAATTTGGGTTGCAAATCCTTCGGAGACCTGCGAATGCTAAGTCAATGAGTGGCCTGCTGAACATATTGATCAGTATAGGTGTCTCTAGTTGTTCTTCAACATTTACAGCTTCCCAAAGCCACCAATTCCTTAATCAATCCTTTATGTAAAGTTTGTTCCTAAACAAATGTTCAAGGTAGTAGACCAGGAAGGCCCCTTATCCTCAATAATGAGTTTGCTTTAAGCGTCCTGAATTGTGCAAAGTTTTTGACTGAAAAAAAACAGAATAGCAACTCTTAATACTACTAAGCCAATGGCTGGCCTGCCTCTAGTTCTTCCTAATTACAAAGAACATGAATACTACAATCAATTACAAAAGGAATCCTCCCAGGAACCTAGATTTGTTTTAGTGGTAGTTTATTTTAGAGGACCTCCCATTTGTTGGAGGGAGGGGGGGGAATCCCTTTTGCTAATCAGGATTCATCATTAATGCCTATCTATGTCCATCTCCTTCCATAATCACACATAGAATCCAACGCAGGTGCTGAGAGGCCTGAAATGGAGACATCCATGCAAGCGCAAGCATGTACATAATATAGATATATAAAACAACCAAATCTCCTAAGGAGTCGATCCTGCAGCTCAGAGGAGAAACATGTTTAGTTGGGAAACTCCCTGATAGCTAAAGAAAAAACTCCCTGCAGCGAAAGGGGCAAATGATGGACACCCCCGGGCCCCCAGCCTAGCTCCTAACCACCAGCTGCTTCCCTTTGCCGCACCCCATCCCGCCTACGAGTTCCAAGAGCCCATCTTCTGTTTGGCGGCCCAGGTCCCCTGGAGGTCAGGAAACGAGCGAATGTCTTCGGACGGTCTGGAGCGACCCATGTCTCTAGCTGGTCACGAGGAGGAGGCTTCCCCATCGTATTGAGGTAAATAGGTAATAGCTTGGTATTACATATGTTCTATATATAAATACATACATCTTCTTCGACGCTCGATGCTGAATGTTCCTTGGGAACCGCCCCTGGGCTCTCCCAAACGAAGCCTAGCACCTAGTATAACCCAAACACTCCATGTATAGAACTATGTATACAATTATATATATTGAATCATACCTATAGGTATTGACCCCTGTTCAACCACCCCGATGTATATATGTATCTAAACATGCCATACAAGGAGTGTGTGGGTAACTGCAGGAATGGGCCCTTGGTCGGGACATGCTGTGACCTCTTGTCACAGGGTTGCTTCCTCAACATCTCTGAGCTATAAAGCTACAATTCACCAGCAACTGTACTCACATCGAACAAACAGGTGAAACGCCCACAAAACCTGCGTTTCACGATCATCCAGGATGACTTGAGCTGGGAGTATACCTTCTTGAGCAGTCAATGCGTAACATCGCGTAGCCGCTGGAGAGACGAACATGGCAACAAACTCTTCGTGACAAAAGGTTGCCTCTACCACTGTTCCCTCCATACAGTTAAACGATCATCCTAATTTCGGACCTATTCAAGTAGGGAGACCTCCAAAAAACGACTCCCGGTTCGGGAAGTCGACTAGTCTACCAGTCTGCCGGGCCAGGGGGTCCCATTTTACACACCCAGCCGTGGCGCAGTGAGCCACTTCTGAACCTCTAGAAATACTACACTCCCTAAAACTAACATGGAGGTGGAGAATGGCCCCTTGGAAGACCATTTTCCACTACAAACAGGTGGTTTTCCACTTCCAGGGAGTACATAAGAGTCTCCCAACCTCCCGGGCATGTGCTCCTGTGCAGTAGTAGCCCTCCTCATCTGTGGGAAGGCTTGCCCCCACATAGCCACGAGCCTGCACCCCTTGGAGGCTGGCTGCCGAAGCGCTCTGAGAAACACAGCTCTGGGCACCACAATGAAAGGGGTGGAGAGAATGGACAATGAATGCTTGACAGGAATGTTGTTTGCCAAACATGGAGACGCCTCAAATAACGGCATCCAACACGGAGTCGCCTGGATAACCTGTCTTGCCAAACAATCGTGCTTCAGAATGGGACATTCCTCAGCGAACGTTCTATATTGGTTGTTAATGCTATGCTAGTTCCACCGCAGGTTATATAATTACAGTATATGCCAGCATATGCCAGTTTATAATTACCTTAAAACAAGGTCAAACCTAATCATACGGGCAAAGAATGCCAAAGAACGCGCTTCCACACCTCCAAATTACCACGAACGGCGGTTGAACCCCATTCTGACCTATTCTGACCACTATTTCACGGCTCAACTGAACCCATGCTGACCACACGGCCAACATCAAAACATCATCAAACTCCAAATCTGACGAGTGTTCATCCAGTCGAAACAGAAGATGGGGCATTTCCACTCGTACTTTTCCATGTATTGCGCCACTGCCCGGACCCAGCGGGGTGCCTATAGGAGGTCTCCCTTGACATCACCGAAGCTTTGACGTCAACCTCTGCCAGTAAGAGAAACCCAACATCGGTTGAACATTGGGGTGGTTTGGGGGGTCTATATGACATACATGGAGTGTATGGGAAATCGGTTGAACAGTTCTTTAAACGTTCTGCCGTTCTATTCCGTGTCTGGCGTCTGTGTGACCAAAACGGCCGCCTGAGGAAGTCCAAGCATCGTCGGTTCCTGCATCGTACTCGAACTTCTCCAACACGTCCTCCTGCGCGTCGGAGATTGTGTTCTGCCTCCAAGTCTACCTTGACTTGGCCGTTAAACACAACATACTCAAGGAACGCCACATAAAGCAAGCAGCATCCAGAATCCAGTGTCTCATGTTATCTCGGGCGCTTCCGCGAGCCTGAAACATTGAAAAAACATGAACAAACATACAAGAACACCTACAACAATCAAGCTGTTGAAATGTGTATTTTAGTTGTGATGTGTTGAGTGTTTGGGCGGGTGCACTCGCTCTTTACTGCAGTTGAGAAGGAGCTGTGTGGATCGGTCTGGCGGCCGTCCTGAAAACTGAGGAGGAGGATCCACTCGTCTGGTGTAGAATCCCCTGAAAGCCTACGCCTACGCGTTCGCCTAGTCTTGCGCTGGGGAAGCCTTCTCGGACACAAAGGCGAAACAGGCAGACGGGCCCCTGCGGCAAAAAGCCGTAGACGCAGTAGCCTGAAGGAATGACTCACCACCCCAGCAGCTCCTTCAGCATGGCCCAGCTCCAGGCAAGGAACAATCTTCACCTGTGCATTGCCCCTGGTGGCAGGCTTGAGGGTAGCTATAGGCCCGATAGAAATTGCCTCAACCCTGACTGCCTAAGATTCTAAGACCCGAGGAGATGGAACCAAAGGCAAAACTATGGACAAAACTTAATTCCAATTAGAACATATTAGAACCATCGACGAACATCCATGTTTGCATGAAATTTATATAACATGTTCCACTCCAGGATGACCGGATTTCCAGAAAGCAGCTTTTCGCCATCTTCCACTCCAGTCACCCCTGCGAATCACCATCAACATACCTGGACCCGCATTCAGGCTCAAATTTCTGCCTGTTCAAGAACATCTGCCTGAACCAGGGTTTGTCCTTAAAAGCAGCCTGCGGGAAGAAATCATTATTCGGGCAGAGTGGCAGATGCTGCAAATTACTTGATATTACTTGCAAAGCACCTAAGTTGCAAATCTGCAGTTTTGAAACAATGTTCGACATTTCAATTCGGGCGAGAATCGGTGTGATTCGGGC